CTCACTCCGATTCCAGGCCGACGGGGCCCAGCGGCGCGACGACTGGCAGCGCGGCGGGACCCTTTTCTGGCGCCCTCGCGGAGGCCGAAGCGCTCGGAGACGCAGCGGCGCGAGGCTTGCCGCGCCCAGTGCCCTTCAGGACATGCGTTTTTCTAGCGTGGCCGGAACTGGGGAGGGCAAAGCCTGCCCCCCCCCCCCCCGCGCCAGGCGCGCCAATGCGTCGCGGAGTCGGCGCCCGCGGGGTTGCTCAGGCGTTGCTGCGCGAGGCGCTGTTGGACCCAGCCGCGATGCTCACGGCGGCGATGCTGGATGCGCTGGGTGCCGCTGCACGTGGCGCCCGTCTGGAATGGAGCTGCTGCGCATGGTGCCCGTGCTGCTGCCCTCGCGCGTCGTAGTCCCGCTCGTGCTGCTCGCGGGCGTCGTCTGTTCGCCGATGCCGACGCATTGGTAGCTTGGGGATGCGCCAGAGGACTCGGAGCTGAGCTGTGCGAGTGTTAACCCATACCCCGAGGCGAGGCGCATGCAGGCGAGCGCGATGGGGGAGCCAGGCAGAAAAAAACACAACGCGCACAGAGCTGAAGCCGACTGGATTCCTGGCGAGCCCAAGCCACTCTTCAAAGATCGGGGCGAGAGGCAAATTTGAAGTCGGCGCCGGCGTCGGATTGGGGGTTCGGCATCGACTGGGAGTCGATGCGTGCGTCGGATCGAGTCTGCGCGGGCGTCGGGTGGGAAGTTGGCACAATCGTGGCAGTCGGCGTGGGCGTCGAACGGGGTGGCGGCGCCGGCGTCAGGTCGCACTCCCCATGCAATGCGTCATAGATCGCCCTCGTTCGTCTCATTCCACTTCTCCGCATCCGCGCCGTGAATGCGCCTCCGATTGCAAACGTCACCGATCGCCCGTGTTCGTCTCCACCCCCTCCTTCGCTCCCAGTGGCACCGCGCACAGCACCAGCGGTGACGTCGCGATTGGGACCTGCAGCGCCACTGTCATTGGCGCCGATAACCACCGCGACTGGGACCAGGACTGGGGCCAACCACGACTGGGACCACGCTGGCTCCTGCGTCGCCGCCAGCTCCAGCGCTTGCGCCAGCGCCGGCGCCAGCGCCGACGCCAGCGCCCATGCTGGCGCCTTCGCCCGTGCCGACGCCGCCGCCGACGCCGGCAGCAACGCTTGCGATTGCGCCGGCAGCGCTGCCAACGCCTGCGCCTGCGCCGACGCCAGCACCGATACCAGCACCAACGCCTGCGCCCACGCTGGCACCAGCAGCAGCGCCCACGCCGCCGCCCATGCCAGAGCCGACGCCAGTAACAACGCTGGCGCCTGTGTCGGCACCCACGCCATCGCTGACATTGGACTCGACACCTACGCCTAGGCCCGCACCAACGCCAGCGCCTACACCAGCACCGACGCCATTACCCGCGCCAGTACCAACGCCAGCGCCTACGTTGGCACCACCGCCAGCTCCCACACCAGCACTGACAACAGAAGCGTCGCCAGCGCGACCACGCGCGCCTACGCCAGCGCCGACACCAGCACCGACGCCCGCATCCCACCGAGACCAGCAGCACAACGCGCTGCAGCGCCAGCTCAGTCAACGCGACTCGCAGCAGCACCAGAGCATCCATCAGCTCCAGCCTGACCTCTACTCCGTCGGCGGCCATGCCCGCATCCGACGCGGCCTGCGCACTGCTGGCCGACAGTCCGCCCTGCCAGGTAGCGGTTGCGGACATCCGGGTTCCCTCTGAGTATTGGGACTTGCCAGGGATCTTGTCGGCCTAAGCTCAGTTCAAGCAGTGGTTTTGTATGGACTGTATGGCTTCCCCATCGCGCTCGCGCGCGCGCCAGCTCTCGAGCGCTGCGTCGATGATTGCCGAGCCCAGCTTCGAAGGCGCCGCGGCCTCCCTGATCCAACGGCGGCATGACTTGGAGCGCCGCGAGGGGGGCCAGCATCGCGAGCGCCGCGTGCAGTAGCGCTTGCCCGGACTACCAGTACATGTGCGTCAGCATCCCGTAGACGGCGGCGACCAGCAAGATTTGGAGCGCAGATAGTGAGAGCGGCAGCGCGAGCGACACATGCACGGCCCCTTGCTTCTACTGCTCCCTCTCTCCCTTTCCCTCTCCCTCTCTCGTGTTTTTGTTTATACGTTGAGCTGTTCGTTTGTCGACTCCTCGGCTCCCTGCCCCGCTCTCGCCATGCGTTGGCCCTGGGCCTGCGCGTCAGCCGATGGCCGCCCATGCGGGCGCCCGACCGCGCTGGTCGGCCGCGCCGCGTTGCTTCGGATCTCTTGCCATGCTATCTTCAGACGTCATCCTTTGTCAGCCATGCCTTCCGACATGCATTGTGCTCTTTGTCGGTTCTGCGATATGAGCACTGTAGCGCGTTCTCATCGTCTCTTGCGCGCGCGCGTTAGGCGGCTTGGCGACTCGGGGAACCAGATGGCCGTGAACGTATATCAGCCTTATTGTCTACTGTATATTCCCATCTCTCCTTCCTCCTCTCTTCTTCCTCGCCCTTCGTGCTCGTGTCGGGAATTTAAGTTTACTTTGTCATTCGCGAAGTTGGGACTCTGACCGCTAGCTTTTCGCGCTTACCTTTTTCAAGGCCTGGCTCCGACATGGCCCTTGGATTTCGCCCGCTGGGATCGCGGAGGAAGCGCTTCCCGAGCGTGCGTCGGGCACGCCGCGAGGAAAATGGGAGCTGCCTCGCTCCCCTAGCTCTTCATAGCTCCCGCGCTGGCGTGTGATGGGACCCGCCGTGCGGTGAAGGTTGTTCTTGTTCTCTCTTGCGGTTTCAATCTAGGGTGAGGCAACACCTCTGGCTGCCATCGCTCTGTCTTGGCCTCTTGCGAGTCTGGTGAAATCACCCGTCTGTCCGATGCGCTGCAGCGTGGCCTTGGAATGAACATCACGCTTCCCGGCTCTGGGAGTGGCGGTCTTCCTCCTGCGCAGAATGATCAGGTTAACATGCTGGGGATGGCGGTCCTGGCGGATCCAATTGACGACTCCTCGCTCGTTGGCGCGCTGGACCTGCAAGCGGAACCCCTGGCGTAGGCTGGCAAATCGCATGATCTCGACCCTCTCGCCTGCCTGATGAACCAGCACGCGGAGTTGCTTGCTCAACCTGAAGATGGGGCGGACGGGGCTGCTACCCCCATCGGGGGCCACGGGGGTCACGTGGATATTGGTGCGGCTGGCTCATCCTCAGAGCAATTCGATGGCCCAATTGACGGCTCCGCCGTCGCCGTCCCCACGCGCATGGGCGGCGGCTCCGCTTGCGACAGCACCTTCGGAGAACAGGTTGCCCCTTGGCGACGAGGCTCCGACTGGCCCCGCCGGCCGCGGACCCTAGCGTGGCGGGAGCGGGTGCCTTCTCGGTGGCGTGGGTTCCTCCTCTTCCTCCTCCTCCACCTCCTCCTCCTCCTCCACCCTCTCCACCTCCTCCTCCTCCTTGTCATCCTCCCTTTTGGAAGTTACCCAACCACAAGCATATCACAGGAGTGCGCGCCACAGCGGCGCCCTGCGTTGACAAAAAGATCAGCGCCACCGAACTCAAGGTCCTTGTCGGCCCGTGCTGGGTCGCGCCAAGATGGGGGGGGCGGGGGCAGTTTTCAGGCGAATTATTGCGATGGAGGCGGCGAAGGGGCTGCGTTGGCGGGGATGTCGCGGAAGGGAAAGGATGGGGGAGGGCGGGGGGGCATAAGGTATTGGAGGGGGAATGGGGGAGGAGGGGGGGGGTCAAGGCGGAGGAGGAATGGGGGCATGTGGGGGGGGAGAGGAGAAGAGGAGGAGGAGGAGGAGGAACTACAACGAGGAGGATGAGGAGGAGGAGGAGGAGGGGGAGGAGGAAGAAGAGGAGGATGGGGAGGAGGAAGAGGAGGAGGAGGAGGAGGAGGAGGAGAGAGAGGCGGCGGACCAAATCGGGGGGCCACAGGCGCAAAACGCCCACAGCGTTGGAAGCGGGCTTCCTGCCAAGGGGCATCCTTGCGTGGTAGGTTCTCGTGCCGCCCCGCACCCTGACCCCCGGGCGTCCTCTTCCTTTGTTTCCCCTCCTCTCCCTTTTCTGTCTCGCCCCACCTCCTCCCTTGCTCTTCTCCATTCTCTTTCTCGTTTTCCCCCTCCGCCTCCTCCTCGCGCTCTCTCTTTCTCCTCCCCATGTCCTCCCCTCCTCTCCTCCGTTCCTCCCCCTCCTCCGTCATTCCTCCTCCGTTCCTACTCCTTCTCCCCAGTCATCTTCTATTCCTTTGTAGTTGCTCTGCGCTGCCCGATCCAGGATGTATACCTGAGCGCTATTCTCCTCTGTCCCCTAATACAGTCCAGTGGTGCTTTCGCTGCTCCCGCGTGTTGTTCTCACGCGCGTGATTCAATTATGTTTGAGGTGTTGATGTTTCGGTCGACGTATATGATTCGATGTGTTTCATGCTTCAAGTGTTTCCATGTGTATCCGTTGATTTTTGGTCCGATCGAGAGCTTCTCGGTCCTGCGCGAATGGTCCCCCCGTTAATGCAGCGTTGGTCACATTTCGGGATCGGAGATTTGTTCACGTCGTTTAGGATGGCCCACAACACTGCAAGGGCCCGTTCATTTATCGACGTTGTTGTCCCCAATTGTTCCCCTCATCCGCCTTCCCTTGGGCATCATTCTCCTCCTATCATTCTTGGTGCTGGTCCTCCTCCTCGTTCCTCGTCCTCATCCACCTGTTCGTTTTCCTGCTTGTCCGCCCCCCCTCACCCAATTCGCAAAGGCCTTCTGTATTAATTGTGCATCAGAGGATGGAGTCGATTGGGGGATCAAGGTCCTCTAAGACGCTCCATCGGGCGGGACAAACTGATCTCTGCTCAATGGGATGGGATGGTTATGCGGGGAAGCGGGGTGGCGTGTCAGATATGGTGCAAACGCACCCGGCTTGCCCCGACACTCCCCGCTCATCGCTGCCCCCCGACCAAGCTTTGGAGGGCGACGTCTTACCCCCCCCCCGGCTGTGACGCACGCCCCGCGCAGCTCGCGCTTCGGGCAGTTCTGCAAGAAGCACCGGAGACCCCTGAATGCCCTGGTGAAGCAGGCCGCTCGCCCCCCCTCCCGCCGCCCTTGGGAGCCTGGTCGGGTGGCCCATGCCACGAGCACTGGTTCGCCGCGGCCACGACGTCTTTGGATCGACGATCTCTGGTTGACGTGTCTTGACCCTCGGATGCTTCGTGGGTGACTTCATCGAATGTGTGCCGTGGTTGTGACGTGACGAAGGCCTGCGTGCGTGTGTTGATTGGGAGGGGTCTGCTGGTTTTTAGGAGGCCGCTGAGGCCTCGTGTGGACCTCCCGTGGGCTTGTCCGAGCCAGGCCACCCTGGGAGTGCAAGGGGAGCACAGCCAGGAGTCCAGCAGATGGTAGCCTCCCGATCATCGCCCGTGTGGACACCGCCGCCTGGTGCCCAGACGTGCAGGGGATCTGTCGCCACGCTGCAGAACTGAACACAATTTCTGTGCGCTCGTAGCGGCAATGCCTTCGTGCATAATCCATCCGTAGCGGCATGCAGATGATTCTGGAATTGGTGGACGCGCTTCGAGAGCAACATCGGTTGACACGGTAGCCTCCAAGAAAGATGGCGGATTATGAACAAGCACGGAATAGTGTTTCATCTCCTCGTGTCTTGGCACTTCTGATCCCAAGCAGCGGCAGGCCCAATGAAGGAATTTGGCAATGGTACTCCGAGAGGCCACCAGAACTGTGCACGTCACGGGCATCAAGGTAGCCAACACCAGACATCAGGCGAGTTGCCTTGATCAGGGACGTATCGCGTCCTGGTTGAGCGGTTGCCTGCCGTTGCCTGCGGTGCCCGGCTTGCGCGGTGCGCTCCCAGGAGTTGCCTCTGTAGAGTGGTTGCCGGTCGTTGCTCGCCGTGCGTGCGTTGCCTTGGGCGCGCGAGCGCCGACGGCAGGCGCGCTCTTCATGTAGCAAGTTGTCAGAGCCCCGAATCATCAGGGGTAACTCGGGTCAGGGTTAACTCGGGTTCGTTTTTCGGGAATCCGAACCCGAGTTATCCCGGACGCGAGTTACCCCGGATAATTCGGGCGTCCAGAGCCCCGAATCATCATGGGTAACTCGGGTCAGGGCTAACTCGGGTTCGTTTTTCGGAAACCCAAACCCGAGTTATCCCGGACCCGAGTTACCCCGGATAACTCGGGCGTCCAAAGTTGGGTTAAAACGGGCCTGTCCCCCTACAGGAGAAATGTTCAAGCATATTTTAAGCACCTGCCCAACATCTGCCTGTAGGGGGGACATGCCCGACCTAACGATAGACGCGCGTTTCATGCAGCAAGTAGGGAGGGGCGCCAGGTAACCATTCGTTCAAGGCAGCCGCGGAGAGTGCAGGACGGTGACCACGACGATGACGACGGCGACCACGACGAAGACGACGACGATGACGACCTCGACGACAACGACGGCAGTACTCAACATGAAGACCTTTGCGACCTTTGGCTCTGGGAGCGTCTTAGATGCCTCTCGGGGCTCTCTTGGGGCCATCTTGGAAGCCTCTTGGGCCCTCTTGGGCTCTCTTGGGGCCCGTTTGGGACGCTATGGGGGCTCTCTTGGAGCCCGCTCGAAGGTCTTGGGGGGCTTCTTGGGGACATCTTGGATGCCATCGATCAAAAGAAGGGGGGGTCGCCAATTTCGCCCCCCCCATCGGGGCCCGAGAAATCGTCTTTGGGGCCCTCATGGGCCGCTCGTAGGGCGGTCTGGAGCAATGGTGAGGCAGTGTTGTGCCCATGTGGCGTCATTGTGGGCCATCCTGGAGCAACCTTGAGGCTACGAGGGCCCATCGGAAGGGAAAAGGCGAGACGGAAAACCACATTGGCCTCAGGGGGGTTGGCCTCAGGGGAGCCTCCTCTGGAGGCTCGGACGGCATTCGGGTGCCGTCCTGGACCTATCTTGAAGGCTCTTGGAGACGTGTTGGATCGGTGGCTATCTTGAACCATCTCGAAATATCTTCAGCGATCTTGGAGGCCATCTTGGTTTTTGCTGGGGCCATCTTGGAACCGCTGGGGGACAAATATGACCCTCTGACATATCGGTAGAAGGGGTCCAGACCCAGGCAGAGGGGATAGGGGGCGGGGGACCCCCCTCCCCGAAGAGGAGGAAGGGGGTTTGCGTAACGAACTCCCTACCACTCACGCCCAGAGGGCTGGTGGGAGCGCATTGCCGGCGAGGGTGAAATATCTCGGTTCTTCCGGGAGTGCGAATCTCCGTTCGCCTTGGGTGACCTGTGCCCCGTCTAACATAGCTGCCAAGAGGTGAGGTGCCCAGCTTTTCATGCGCATATATTGGATGTCGCGCCTGAGGAAGTGTTGATTAGACTCCATAGGAATTCAACATTCAACGGGCTAGGGTGCTGCGGGGCATCCCAAGGACCCAGGTGCTTGAGCTCACGCAGCGTCGTGCATCATCCAGTGGAGCTATTATCGGAGGCGTCCAGACTCCTCGCCCTCAGTGGCTTCTGGGACCAAAGGTTTTTGAACGGTTCTCTCACATCGGCCAGTGTGACTTCCCCCTCAGCTCTCGCAGCCCGACCAACGCGAGGTCTGTCCGTTGCAGAGTAATATGTTCGGGCTAGGCTGGCCCCCAGGGCACCAGGGATAAGAAAGTGCTACGGGAGTTTCTTTCGCAGTGCTTATGATGATTGGATACCAGACTTATTCTTAACGCCTCGCGTGTCCCGCCTGGCCCCTGCGGACACGACGCCCAGCAGAGCTGCCCTGAACTCTTCTAGGTCGCTTGGGGCGCCTTTGGACCTTTGAGGGCTCATGCGAGGCCTCTTGCAGCGTCTTGGGTGCCTCTGGGGCGCCTCTGGGGGCATCTTCGGGGCCGCTGGGGGGCCTCTCGGGGGCCTCTTGGGGCCCCGTTAAGGGGCCTCTTACAGCCTTCTTGGAGCATCTCCGGCGCCTCCTGGGACCCTATTAGGTGGCTTGTCGGGCTGTTTTGGGGCCATCTTGGAGGCGGCCAATCAAAGAAGGTGGGGCCCTTAAATCTCCTCGCCCCCCAGGAGGCCACAATGGTCCTCAAGCCTAGGACACTTGTGTTGCCTTCTCGCTGAAGCCATCTTGGACGCTCTGACCGCTCGCAACCCTCCCCGTCCCCGAAGGACAGCCGTCTCTCTCACTCCCACCCGTCCCCCCACCAAAGAAGTAGCACTGGATTCCCAGGATGGGCTGGGGCCGTCATCGACCATCATTGGGAGCCAATGCAGACGCCAGCCAGGTGCGCGACGCCCGCGAGAAGCGCCGCGCGTGCCGGGGCACCCCCATCATCCCTGTCAAACAACAATGCGAATTGATCGCGGGGCGCCCGCGCATGATCGCTGCGGGAAAGTGTAGTGATTGTTGCATTGTGACAGGGGTGATGAGCTTGCGCGCGCGTCATGTTGTTTTTTTGACAGGCGTGCTGGGGGCGATTGTTATTCCCTCGCCGAGGGGGAAGGAGAGGGAACATGGAAGAGCAATCGGTTTGGGCCACCTCATGACTTATAAAGGTGGTTCCTTCTGTCGCCCGCCACTCGAACGACGCGTCGTCATCGCCATATCAGCATCGTCATCATCATCAGCATCATCAGCACCATCTTTATAACACTCATCACGATCCTAGCCTCTCGGTAATTCCGCGGTTCCTGTAGAATTGCGACGACAGCATGGGATCACTTTCAAGACTGTTGCTCGATTTCTACGACTTCGTGAGCTGAGCCCCTGTTCCAGGCAAGACCCTCACCCCTCGAATCAAGCATTTCAACCCCAGTGCCCCTGATAGTGTAACGAACAGAGGTATCCTGAATCTAAGACTTGCCAGTCGCCCTTTGCTCCCATCCAATGCTGTCTCGTATGTCAAGTCTACTTGTAATTCGTGGCCCACGTCCAGGAGATACCGTCAAGCTTGCTTGTCCTGCAGATTCGTCTGTAGCCTGGAGGGTGGCGACAGCATGTGCCATATGTTCGAGTGTCCCATCCTGCTTCCCCTCTTGTCGCGTGTGCTTCTGTCATTCCCCTCTCTTTTTCCTCTCGTCTCCTCGTTTCTGAGGTGTCCCATATCTTGCAAGATCAATTGCTCGCTCAGTTTTTTCTCGCCACCTTTAATTTGTCAAGAGCTTCGGGGTGCAAGGGTCCCGAGCCGATGCATAATACATTATTTTCAAGAGCCCGCATTTTATCCAAGAGGTCGTCTCGGTGCAGGGATCTTCTTATGGCCCGAGAACATCAATCTCAGCATGTCCACCGTCATCACCATCACCCTCATCACCATCACCAACATAACCTTCATCATAGTGTCATCATCGGCAGTACCATCATGATCCTCATCGTCACAATCCTGCGCCTCCTTATCATCATCGTCACCCATCGCATCAGCATCACCATCATTATCATCACCATCAGCATCACCATCATAATCAGCAGCATCCTCATATTCCTCACGAGGACCACCATCCCTATCATCGTCGTCATATCTGCGCCAACATAATCCCCATCATAGTCGTCCTCATCATCAGCTTTGTCGTCATGGTCATCATCATCTGCATCATCATCAGTATCACCAGCACTACCACCACCATCGTCATCACCATCATACACATCATCAGCCTCAACATCATACCCAACATCCGATCCACCGTGCACTCATCCTCATCAACGCCACCATCCGCATGTTTGTTTGTTCGACCGGTCAGACCCCCGGGCTGCTCTCCAAGTCGTTCGCGCCCCTTGTGCGGCACATGCCCCTCTGCCTGGACTTCGACAACAAGCGGGTGCCGCCTCTTCCTCCTCCTCCTCGTCCTCCATCTCCTCCTCCTCCTCCTCCTCCTCCTCCTCCTCCTCCTCCTCCTCCTCTCGCTCCTCTCTCTTCCTCCTCCTCCACCTTCTCCTTCTCCTCCTCCTCCTCCTTCTTCTCCCCGTTCCTCCCTCCCTCCTTCCCTCCCTCCCTCCCTTTTTTGTCCCCGTCCTTGTCCTCCTCCTGCTCCCCATCCTCCTCCTCCTCCTCCTCCTCCTCCTCCTCCCTCCTCCTCCTCCTCCTCCTCCTCCTCCTCCTCCCTCCTCCTCCCTCCTCCTCCTCCTCCTCCTCCTCCTCCTCCTCCCCCTCCCTTCCTCTTCCTCATCCTCGTTATCCTCCCTCCCTACCTCATCTTCCTCCTCCTCCTCCTTCTCCTCCTCCTCCTCCTCTTCCTCCCCCCCCCTTCCTCTTCCTCATCCTCATTATCCTCCCTCCCTACCTCCTCTTCCTCGTCCTCCTCCTCCTCTTCCTCCTGCTCCTCCTCCTCCTGCTCCTCTCAAGCCAATGTGGTTCAGAGGGGAAGGACAGAATGGTGCTTCCCACCCCCTTCCCTAGGGCCGCATCTCGCCACCTTGACGAGGTGGTTTGGGGGCAGCCAGTCTGCCGTGCTACGCGCGGCCCTCCGTGCAGCTTCAGCGCGGGGGAGATGGCTGGCGAAGGGCGAGAATTTCCATGCGAGATTCAATCATGTTGTCTCTCCCCTCAGCCATGGGCCATGGCGGCGGATCCGAGGCCTGGGGCAAGGGCAAAGGTTCAGAGGGGAAGGGCGGGCGAGGCAATCTGCCGAAGACGCCGGGCGCATCTTGGCCGTGGTCCAAGTGCTGCGGCTGCGGCAAGTGTGAGTACAACTCTGTGTTGCTCGAGAGAGACCGTCGGTGCTGGCAATGCAACAGGCAGGTCACACTGTACTTGTCAAAGTCGCACAGCCATGACAACCAGTTGCAGCTCCAGCTCGTGCCTGACCGCGCCGGGAAGAGCAAGGGGCCACCAGCGAGGGTGTTTGCATCGTGTTGATTCAGCAGACGCTCCGAGTCACCAGTGGACCTCCCCTAGCGGAGCTCCTCCCTGACGAGCTGGCCAAGAAGAAGGAGGCCATCGCCTCGACAATGACGCCCGAAAGCGCGGTGAAGGCCACGTCTGGGGCTTGGAAGGCGGCCTCGGCGAGGCGCGACCAGGCGGTCGAGGCGGTGCTCGAGGCGGAGACCAGCCTCGCTACGGCCCAGGCCAAGGAGCGCGAGGCGGCACTGGAGCTCGCGAAGGCCGACGGGGCAGGGAGCACTGGAGCTCGGCAGGCGGCGCGTGCCCTGGCGCTCAAGCTGCAGGTCGTGCCAGACGCCGTGGAGCACGCCGATGGCGACGACTTTCAGAAGTGCCACGCGCATTTCAAGCTGGGCATCGACGAGAAGTGGTTCTCGGAGATAGAAAAAGGAAGCGCGCGAGAGACACGAGCTCAAGTCGCCGCGGGAGCTCAAGGCGCAGCTCGAGTCGGTTCGCTCTAACCTCGACGGCAAGTACGCGGAGACCAAGGAGTGGCAGGGGAAGGCCGCGGCCATGCGCAAGGCCGTCACCGAGTGCCTGCTGAAGAAGCGGCGCTGCGAGGGTGGCGGAGCTGCACATGAAAGCCAGCTTCAACTGGGCGCGGCCGCGGCTGCAGAGGGGCCATCCAGCTCGAGCCCGCCATCAGCAGTCGCAGCAGTAGCAGTGGCAGCGGCCGAGGCTGACGCCAAGGGGCATTAGGAGGCGGCCAACAGGCTCCCGAAGGCGAAGTTCGAGGCGGCGTTGCTGGCGAAGCAGGCCAAGGCCACGCCGCCCGCTGCGGCCGCGCCTGCGCCGCTCTGCAGGGCAGGGGCGAGGACCAGCGCCGGCGCCAGCGCCGGCCCGGCGCAGGGAGGCCGACGCCCCAGGGCTCGGCCAGTGCGAGTGGTCAGCAGCACTTGCATTCTCAGCCTCCTTTTCAGTTTCAGTTTCGCCAACGTCACTTGCGCGGGGAAGCTTGCGTGGGATCGCGCTGTCTCTCCTCAGCCTGGGCAGTGCAATCTCATTGGCACTGTGGGGCCCCATGCCGACTCCGAAGGTTTTGACCACCGGCGTCGCGAAGCCAGGAAAGCAGGCTTGCGTCTCCTGGGCAGCCCAGCGCGCCCCAGCGGCGAGGTGCTCATGGACTCGTCCAACGGGCGCCGCGCCAACGAGCGCGGTGAATGGTTCATCGCAGAAGGCCGCCGGTCCGCCCACGCGCGCGCGCGACGGAGGGCGGCCAGCTCCGTTCCGAGGGCCGCCAGGCGCTGGACGGTTTTTCATGCGACGGTGGTCGACATGAAGGGCCCCTGTTTCATGGCAGTCGCGTTCTACGGATTCTCGGGCGAAGGGTGGTCAGGCAGGAACCTCGCGCGCTCCGGTAGACTAGGGGCGCCCCTTGTCAGCGCGCAGTTGCTAAGGATCGATTTTGCGGGTAGGAAAATGTGTTCTGACCACCTGGTGCGCCGGGGCAATGTTCGGCGAGTCGGAAGGCATGTCATCACCGCGCCCAGCGCGCCCGCTGCTTGCACGGCCAGTTCTGAGAGTGGTTGCACCGAGAGAAACAACGCTGTCGTAAGCTCTTCTTTACGTCCGTACGTTTCCTCGGCCGAAGCAGTTGCCGACGCGCCTCGGGAAAGTCGCCGCGGCTTGCCGGTGAAGTTTCGCGGCGCAGGCGAGCAGCTGCTGGCGCGAATGTTGGACCTGCCTGCCAGGCAGCCGTAGACCCCCCGCCCTTTCCCCCGCCCTTCTCGCGGCTCCAAGTCTGCGGCGGCGAAGCGGGGCCGCGCGTGCATGCGGGGCTCCGCTCGCGAAAAACTTCGCTCGGAGTGCCCGGCTTCGTTAGGCGACGCCCCATGCGTCGGCCTCGCCGGCCCGCGGCGACGAGGCCCGCCGGGGTCGCGGCGCCGCTGGGTCGTCCCAGGCCGTGCCAGGCGACGCAGTCCTCCAGAGTGGATTTTCTAGATTATGATGCGCTGTCTCCTCAGGAGGAGGACCCGCGGGCTGGCGAGTCTGGATTCGGGCCCGGGACAGGGCGTCAGAGGGTCCTGCTCCCTGTGCTGGCATTCCGCGCCCTGGACATGTTCTTGTCGTTTCAAACCTCGCCCGTCTAGTGGGGCCCCCCCAGAGCCCAGATAGGCTCACGTAAGGCCCCTGTAGTAATTATGATCCCCAGGCCCCAAGCGCGGTTAATACGGACTCCTCGGCGCCTCAAGTTGGGGCCGCTGCTGCTGCGGATGCCGTCCACTTCGCACTCCCGTCTTACCTCGTTCCGTCAACGCTTTGGCCCGAGAATCGAAGTCAGGTCGGTCTTGTCTCAGCTCATTGTGGCGGGGCTGTGGTCCGCGACTCCATCGCCTACGTGGTTGGGCGCCAGGGCGTCGCTGAGGTCAGCTGGGCGCTGGCTGCCTGGGTCGCGACCCTTGCGAGGGCAGTTCGCGCTCGTCGCGGTTCAGCATTCCCCGAGCAGCGTGGGTCTCGCGCGCGCGGCCCCAGTTTTGTTGCCAGGAGAGACCGTGCGTCCAAGCGTAGCCGCACGCGGCCGCTGCGCGCTCATGTCCGCGCGTGCTGGGGTCGAGCACGCGCGCTGCTTAGCAGATTCACCGAGCGCAGGGGGGGGTCCAATGGTCGACGCCGCCAGTGTCGCAGCATGCTGCAGGCCAGTGGCCGCACGATAGGCGACTGTCCCACTGGCGTGCGCGATCTGCCTCGCGGCCCTCGGCGTCGGGAGTCCTGGCTCTCATGTTTCCATGACCCCATGGCGGTCTCCTTGGATGCTCTCGCTGATGTGACGGGAGCTGCAGAGCGTGCTGCCAGGAGGACTCAAGGTCGAGTCCTGCATCTTTCACTGCGCGAGTTCAGGGCCTTGGTGGCCACTGATGCCGCGCTGCTAGCATTCCGCAGATCAATCAACGGCTGCCCGCAGGCAGCTGAGGAGCTTGTCGCCGATGGGAGCTACGCTACACCATCCATTGGACATAATCGATTTCAAAGTACGCAAGTGGCACGGTCTGTGGCGCAAATCAGGCGTCGACCAGAACGCGTGGTTGCAGTCCTTTTCTTGTCTGCATCCGCGAAGCTGCCGGGGATCAACAGCTACCACTGCTTTCCTGCGAGATGGTGCGTGAGGCAGCGCGCCCCATGCGACCCAGGGCTGGGCAGGGCGTCGACGGGCTGTCTCCGACGGGCGCGGGGCGCTTCCCACCCGAGGGATTCCAGGAGTTGACGGACATCCTCAAATCAGTCGAGTGTCGTTTAGCTTGGTGATGGCAGTTACCATGGAGATTGGTCGCAGGTTGGCCAAGAAATCAGGAAGGGGCCGCGTCGCAGGCCTCATTGGCATGGCGCCACGCACTGTGCCCCTTTCTCGCGAGCCTCGATTGTTTTGTTCGCAACTTTGCAGCCGACAGACAGCGCGAGACAGGGGTCGCGCAGCGGGTTCATATTCGCACGCTGCATGACACACTTCGTCTTAGCGCATCTCACGAAGTTCCACCCTACTTTGAGTGCGAGGCCGTGGGTTGACGACCTATCCGAAATTCTTGTTTGTTCGCGTAGCCATGTCAAGAAGAAGTTGCTGCAGCAGGTAGTTGAGATGACGCCCAACCCTCTCCAGCAGGAGGGCTTGCAGGTGGCGCTCGGGAGTGTGCTGATCTGCTCGCGCCACCAAGGCGCCACCATCCAGCCCGCCCTGCAGGTGAGATTTCTTGGGATCGACTGGAGCGGGCATGCACGCAGGGAGCACCGCCCGGCAGTGAAAGGCAAAGGCGGCGCTCATGGGCGCGAAGATACGGCGATTCGCCCAAGCTGCACGGCGCTACGAGCCAGCAGTGTGTCTCGAGAAGGCGGGGGCCCAGCCTGCGGGGCACTGCGGGCGCCGCGTCCGCGGTGCAGTTTGAGCCGCCACGTTGATCCACGCGCAGGATGCTGGCCCATGCGTCCAGCCACGCGAGGAGAGGGCGG